GACCGGAAGGACGCCAGCCATATCATAGTAGCCAGATTGAAATGCGAAGCAGCGGCCGTCCGCCCCGCTCTCCTCCTGGTTAGGCCTCTGGTCTCAAGCCCCAAAATGTCTCTCCAATACCTAGAGTCGCCCGGTACTAGGTGCTCCAGCTACACCGGGACAATCCAGGACTCCATTCCCCGAACCTCCAGAGCTCTCATGCAGCATAAGGTGGTTATTTTCCCCAAAATTAGCTTGATTCCGCAGGAGCTCCAGTGACCTGCAGCCTGTCGGCATGGTCGCCCGGCCCCGCCCCCTCTGAAGACTTACTTTAAAGAGACTTTCTTTTTGTACATTTTTATTGTTTTTCAAAGGCTGCAAATTTGTAGTATATTTTATTTTTTCTTATTATTGCCATTTTGCTTTTTTTTCTTTAATTTTTTATGTTTTTTCTATTTTAAGAGGCTTTGTAATGGCCTGGGAAAGTTAACCCATAACATAAAACCATTTATAGTGGTATAGACTGTGGCAGGAGGTACCTCATCATAGTTACATAGTATTAACCTTCGATGTGGACAGGATTCAGTATATATGAATTGTTTTTTGATTAATGTAAATTATATGGTTTATGTCTTTGATTTTGTACACAGTATGAATTCAGGTTTTTCTGTTGCGGAAATGTATGAAGTGATGTACTAATTAATTGCCTTGATTCTTGTATATAATATGAATTAAAACTCTTGATTTTTTGAACATTACTTTAGAGTGCGGTATCACCAATTTCACTCCACTTTCCATCAACTCGTAGTTTCTGCCCAATATGAACGGGCTCTTGTGCGTCTCTAGGAAATGCATCTGGAATCAATTGACTCATCAATTTTATTTGTATAATTTATACTATTGATATGCTTACTTTTTTAGTAGTCTTTTTTGCAATTTCATTAGGTTTAGAATGGCATTCTGTTTCTGAAGCAGAATTCAGGAATCAGACTACATTGGAATCAGACTACATTGGATGATTGAGCCTGAATAATGGCTTGGAAAATAGATTTGGACAAAGTTGATGACATAATGTCCATAGCTGATATAATTGCTTGATGGAAAGATTTATTCAAAGCCTGGTCAATATTATGAACAATAACCTATGAGATGAGCCAAAGACTGATCTTAATGTCCAGCTCACAACTGTGAAGAGAGAGGTTACTGAGTTTGATATCAGGATGGACCGCATTGAAACAAAATTTGAGGAATAAATGAGTTCACATTTGGCACTTGAATCCAAGGCCCGTTCACTAGAGAATCAGCTTGCTTTCGTTAAGCCGAAAGTGGCTGAGCTCGAGGATTAGAGCCAACGAAACAATAATCTGGTGCAAAACACTGCCAAATCCATAGCTGCAAATGAGATATTGGATTACATGAAAGCGGTGATTCGCACATTTCTATCTATTAAAAACGTCTCAGATTTGGACTTTATAATAGGTGCCTCAGACTGCCAAAATCAAATTCGGTGCTAAATGAGGCACCTACAGATCCAATAGCTAGAATCCATTTTATTACATTAAAGATGACCTCTTAGCTGCTCTGAGAAAGAGATAGGAATTTCCTGAGGAATTCAAACACATCAAATTTTTTTCAGCTGCTACTTTGTCCAAAGGAGGGAGTTTCAAGACTTTACTAGACAGCTGCAAAGTAAAGGCATAAAGTACAGATGGGGTCTTCACCATACCTGCCTTCACATTCTATGTTTCTATGGTAGTGGATGCATGGAATAGCCTTCCAGCTGAAGTGGTAGAGGTTAACACAGTAAAGGAGTTTAAGCATGCGTGGGATAGGCATAAGGCCATCCTAACTATAAGATAAGGCCAGGGACTAATGAAAGTATTTAGAAAATTGGGCAGACTAGATGGGCCGAAAGGTTCTTATCTGCCGTCACATTCTATGTTTCTGGTGAATGTTTTATTTCACCACGAAGGTCAAAATATAATTTACACAGTGGAAAAAGGAGAATAATTTTTGGCTAGCAGATATGGTATTGACAATTGAAGTGTTATCCTACATTAACTACAGATAACGGATTTCACTTTTATGGGTTTACAAGTTACCATTGGAAATGTTTTGGAGGTCATTGACTTTTCATTTCTTTAATATGCCTGACTGGGAATATCAACAACTATACTTTGGATTACAATTTTTAAAAATTTATTGGATTTGCAATTTTGGCTGACATTTTCTCTGGAACAAGGAATTGCTTGTGTGGTGAGGGTAAAAACAGATTTGACATGTGATTCTGACTCTAGGAAAATTTTTAGTCCTCAATACACCTCACTGCTACCTGTAAAACTAAATCAAGCAGGGCATCCATTTATTTTTTTATAAGAATGTGGCCCACTTAACTGACAAGATAGTTATAGATGAAAAGGGCAGATATATTATCTGGGTCGGAAATGTGAATAATGTTCTATATATCATAGTAAATGTATATTTTCCGAATTCAAGTCAACTGAAGTTTTTAAAAAGAATTTAATGGCAAGATTGTGAAAGTGATCACATTTAATCTAATATTTTGCAGATATACTTAACTTTGTATTGGACCAAGAAATGGATATTGTAAGAGAGGGATCAAGCTTGATGGTGGTTTGCAGGTGTGCAGTGAATTTCTGCATACTACTGTTATTTATGATGCTTGGAGAATATGACACGAGGAAGAGAAAAATTATATATATGACTGTCTCATGTAATATGTACTCCCGTATTGACCGCTTTAAAAATTATTATTATTTTTTTTTTTTATAATTCTTTCTTTAACATTAAAAACAAAAAAGAACTCATTATACATTATACAATCTTTAACATGCATTTAACAGAAATGTTACCTAAAAGATTGCATTTAAGCTCTAATATCACCATTTTGAGTTATTCATCAATACAAATTTTTACACACACTAAAAAAAACAAAAAACAAAAACAAGAATAAAACTATTAAGTACACTTTCTGCGAATGGCAGGTATACCTGCTATTGATTTCGATAGCAAAAATATCCAAGGATTGAGTTCTATGTTTCCCTGTATTATCACTTGAATTAGCTCCCTTATTTCCTCCCAATAGCTTTTAATCTTTGGGCAATCCCACCACATGTGTAAATATGTCCCTTGTAGGCCACATCCCCTCCAGCAAAGATCTGTCAGATTCTTACCTATTTTGTACAAAAAAAACAGGGGTCACATGCCACCTAAATAATATCTTAAACATCTGTTCCTGCGAGATTACACAAATCGATATTTTAGATGCTGTTTCCCAGATATCTATCCAATCCTTAATTTCCAAAGAAGAACCTAAATCTGCCTCCCAATGGGATATATACTTTAATGGAGCCCAAACCGTAGGTTCCTCACTTAGTTGATTATAAAAATCAGAGATAAGACCTCCCTTTAACCTACCTATTTTGCACACTTTTTCAAAATTAGTGAAGGGGAATTTAACTGCCGTTTTTACCTCCATTGAATACGCAAAGTCTCTAATCTGCAAATAACGAAAAAAATCTCCTGTCCTCAAAAATATATGCAAACATTTTGACTGAGAGGTTGGCGCAAGTAATTCCTATGGACATTGATAGGGACCAAGTGTGATTTATTATGTAAGAGAGGCCCCGATGGAACTAAAAATTTTTTCTAAATTTAATACATCAAATTAAGACAACTCGAACGCCTTCTCTGCTCCTCTCTTTGTAAGCGGAGAAGGTGTTCGATAGAGTCCACTAGGCCTACTTGAGGGAAACTCTGACTACATTTAATATACCCAACCCCCTAATTAATGCAATTTTTGCACTCTAACCAACTGCTAAAGTTTTCACTTCAGGCTTTACTTCTGATTATTTCCTGTTAACAAATTGGATTAGACAGGGCTTTCCACTATCTCAAGTTCTTTTTGCCCTAGTAATAGAACCATTGGCAGCTCTGATTAGAAGTAATTCGGATATTAAGGGAATTTGAGCACGAGCAACAGAACATAAAATAAGTCTCTTTGCGGACGATATTATTTTATCTTTATTGGATCGCAAGAAGTCTGTGGACTCGTTGAATATTATTCTGAAAAATGTTGGAGAGTCTTTGTTTTACTGGCTTAACACAGGTGAAATTAATCCACGCTCCCTGGCACGATATGGAAGACTTGAAATAGAAATTTTACTTTTATTGTAGAGACTCACACATTGATTATCTGAAAATATGCAAGACTTGAACAGTATGCAGATATTTAATCTTAAAAAAAACATGGCTCGAATTACAAAAAGAATTGTAAAATTGGAATTCATTGGAAATCTCCTGGCTAGGTAAAATAACATCAGTGAAAAGGAACATTTTACCCAAAATAATGTAGTATTTAGGAGCCATTCCTTTAACTATTCTGAAGACCTTCTTTAGAAAAAAAAACAAAAACCAATCAATCTGGTTTAATTAAATTTACATGGGGAATAAGAAAAGTAGGATTACCTTTATTAATTATGCAAAAGTATAAAAACTATGTTGAACTAGGGATACCTGACTTTTTAAAATATTTCCAGGAAACAAATTCAATGGCAGAACTTAATTTAGATAAGATGGAGTCATATTCTGTTATAGGAGTGCTGTGGCTTCCAGTGTTTGGGCTTCCAAAATTGGCAGAGATGTTCCCCATCACTAAAATAACCATTACAAGTTGGGACACTGTGTTTAAAGTGTTTGGTACTTCCTCTGGGAGGTTGCGGGCAATGCTGTTATCTATTCTAAAATTAGACTTTCCCTATTTAAATTTGGAACACTGGCAATCTCACTCTATTCAAAATGTAGATGATTTTCTTTTTTACCGGGTAAATCTTTAATGACTTTTGAAAAAAATTAAAGAGAAACTTGCCCTATTAGATAATATGAAAAAGAGTTGTCAACAAATTAAAATATAATTAATAATTGTTCTATTCTAAATTTAGATCAAATTACAATGACGTTTCACTATCTGAAAAAAAAAAAAAAAAATAGTACTTACATGACCCTAATAGACACAGCCCTATCTCTCAGTGTTACTGATATTTGATACCTAAACCCAGTTTGAAAGAAAACTATAGGACCTGCTTGGGAGAAATATATAGGAGCTTGTTATTACCTAGATGAATGGTTCAAATTTGTACCAGCCCTGAAAGGGGTTACACTGTGTTCCAATCACTGGGAAAATCATTTAAAAATAATCTAGAGATTGTGTTTAGCCTCCTATAGGATGAATAAAATGAATTCAAAATACTCCGATAAATGCTGGAGGAATTGTGGATTGATGGGTTCACTATCACATATTTTTTAGTTTTTGCCTAAAATTAACACAATATTGGAAAGATGTACATAAACTGATTAATAAAGTTAACTCTAATATTCCTATATTGTCTTCTAATTTGGCCTTATAAAAAAAAATTCCCAGATGATATTAAAAAAATTGATAAGATTATAATTGGTCACATCCTAATCACTGCTACCATAATCATCAGCAGATACTGGAGTTCCCCTGTGATCCCCTCCATTAACCCCTAACTGAGCCAAAGTTAGGACTGAGCCAAATGTACACGTTGTGATCAAAACAAAACATAAACAAAACCTGGAATTTGCACTATGTCTGTTCAACCATAATTCACCCCTTTCATATTAAGTGCACCCACACTTATTATATATCATTTTATTCAGGGGAAACATGACTTTCATTTAACATCAAATATTTAGCTATGAAACATAATTTAATATAAATAAAATATTGAAAAATGGGTGAAAATAAGATTTTTTTTTTTTAGTTCTACACGACATTTTAACTGTGAATGTCATAATACGGTTTGCTTTTACTGTGATAAAATACACATATTTGTATTCAGCGATGTCTCAGGTGAAAAACAGTACCTCCTATGTACAGGTTTTATGGTGTTTTGGGATGTTACAGATCAAATATAGCATGTTAAATTTTTCATTTTTTTCACATTGAAATTCGCCAGATTGGTTACATTGCCTTTGAGACCGTATGGTAGCCCAGGAATGAGAACTATCACAACAATTATATCGTCAGTGTAAGTGCCATTTGTGGGTGAAAAATGCAAAAACAAAAAATTGCTTTCACTGACGATATTGTTGGAATACATTTTACTGTTTTGAAACACTAATATTTGTGTTAAGTGAAGTCTCCCGAGTAAAACAGTGCCCCCCCATGTACAGGTTTTATGGTGTCTTGGAAAGTTACAGGGTTAAACATAGTGCTAGCAAATTAAATTCCCTGGACTTTCGACCTGGGTTGTCAGGCAGGTCCCACAAATTGTAATTAATAAAATGACCTAATTATGTAAAAATATTACATATATATATATATATATATATATATATATATATATATATA